AAAAAAAGGAAAAAAAAATACATTAGGTGGACAGTCCATTTTTTTTTTTTTTGAGATGGAGTTTCACTCTTGTCCTCTTGTCACAATCAAGACTCACCACAACCGGCCAGGCGTGGTGGCTCACGCCTGTAATCCCAGCACTTTGGGAGGCCGAGGCAGGCGGATCACCTGAGGTCAGGTGTTTGAGATCAACCTGGCCAACATGGCGAAACCCCATCTCTACTAAAAATACAAAAATTAGCTGGGCGTGGTGGCAAGCGCCTATAATCCCAGCTACTTGGGAGGCTGAGGCGAGAGAATCGCTTGAACCTGGAAGGTGGTAGTTGCAGTGAGCCGAGATCGTGCCACTGCACTCCAGCCTGGGTGACAGAGTGAGACTCCGTCTCAAAATAAAAAAAAGACTCACCACAACCTCCGCCTCCCAGGTTCAAGTGATTGTCCTGCCTCAGTCTCCCGAGTAGCTGGGATTACAGGCATGCAACACTGCACCCATCTAATTGTTGTATTTTTAGTAGAGATGGGGTTTCACCACGTTGGCCAGGATGGTCTCGAACTCCCAACCTCAGGTGATCTGCCCACTTAGGCCTCCCAAAGTGCTGGGATTACAGGAGTGAGTCACCACGCCCAGTCGACAGTCCATTTTAAATCGTATCACTTAGACTAAAGGGGTTTAACCTTAGAAATGTTTAATCCTGTGTTTATGAGCCAGCAGCGGATTTCTGTGTCACAGTAAGCTTGAAGAACTGAAGTGAGTTTTTAATAACTCCTTGGGAGAGTCCCAGCACGTGGGGCTGTGCTTTCGGAGTCTTGATTAAATCAGCAGGGGTCGAATGAATTCCAGGCTTTCAGAGTTACACAGGCCGGAGCCTCCGGTCACCAGCTCTAGGGAGAGTGGGAAATGTACGTGCTCTGTTCACAAGCACAACAGATGCCAGCCGAAAAGTCAAATAAACCTCCAGGAACCATGCAGGGATCACAGGGAAGGAAGAATAAAGAAACAGGTTTCAAGGCTGAGCACCACTGTGCTCCGTCCCAGGCAGCACACACACCCCACATGCCCTGCGAGGATCGCCTCAGGGCCCAGGCTGCTGTGGACTACACAACACCACCAACAGATTTTGTTGGCAGGAAAAAAGGCCCAATCCTGGAATGCCCACCACAGCCACAAGAAGTTTTCAAAGTACTATGACCATTCCCCACACGTAAAATATCCCCCCTACTATTTCTCAGCCTCTAGGAAGAAGCTTAGAAGATCATTATAAAAGCAACAATCTGGCCGGGCTCGGCGGCTCACGCCTGTAATCCCAGCACTTTGGGAGGCCGAGGCGGGTGGATCACCTGAGGTCGGGAGTTCGAGACCAGTCTGGCCAACGTGGAGAAACCCCGTCTCTCCTAAAAATGCAAAATTAGCCGGGCGTGGTGGCACATGCCTGTAATCCCAGCTACTCAGGAGGCTGAGGCAGGAGAATCGTTCAAACCCAGGAGGCGAAAGTTGCAGTGAGCTGAGATTGTGCCACTGCACTCCAGCCTGGGCAACGAGAGTGAAACTCTGTCTCAAAAAAAAAAAAAAAAAAAGCAAGAATCCAATTATCCAAGTATTGATGCCCTGAAACGTCCACTCCTCCCTTTATTAAGCGCAAAGGACCACGTCTACCGGATAGATCCAGATCCTATTTAAGAGCGTACAGACTCTACTGATGAAGGGTAAAGTTTACATGTCATCGTGACTTTGAAGAATTCCGAAGTTCCTAATGACTCATAAAGTCATCTATTTTAGTCTGGTCTGTTCTCAGTAAAAGTATTCTCAACATTACAAATATACAAAAGTATCTAATGACAAATGCAAAAGTATCACGAATAAGAACAGAACCAAAATTCAACCCCAACTGCAGCGGGACATCCAGTGTGGGTCAACGCCCGCCTCATCAGCACCTTTCTCTGGCTTGTTCTCCAGCTCTCGGAGGTGAGTACAGAAAGCAGGACGCTTGGCGTCGGACTCACCTGAACTCTCTGCCTTCGCTGTACCGTCTACTGGAGGAGGCCCTCGGGGCAGCTGTGTCCAGGAGCAGCTTCTGAGGGAGTCTTCCAGGAGGAGCAGCGTCTCTGCCATCGTCCTCGTCCATGTCCTGGTCGCATTTCCATTCCTCATCTTCATTTAAAGTCGGCAGGTATCCAGATATGCCCTTCCCTGTCCCTGACCCAGAGCTCTGGTCACTACAGACTTTCGGGCTCTCCGAGCCTGTCCTCGTATATTCCAAATAAATATCAGACTTAAGGAAAGAGGGATAGGTGTTTTCCTCCATAGTGGCCTGGATTTCTGTCTGGGCCTGGTCAAACATGGCAGGATCGATCAGCTGCTTCATGATGCAGCCCTTTATGAAGCTCTTGGTGGCTGGCTTGGTCTGCCGGGACACGATGCCATTGTTATCAAGGATGTACTTTCGATAGATGGCTCTCGCCAGCTTCAGCCTCTTTTCCTCGTTCGAGTCACAGGGCTCCAGCTTCCTGAAGCCAGTGCAGGCAAACCAGAAGTCCAGCAAATCGGCACAGCCCTCCTGCTTCAGGAAAGTCCTGAATAGGCTTATCCCATCTTGGTCATCCAGCAGGGAGTGCAGTGACTCAGCCCACTTCAAGTATGGTGGGGTGGGGGAGGCACTGCCCTCAGGCTCATACCCCAGGTCCAGATCCGAGCGCCTCGGAGTGGCCGTCGAAGTCTCAGCTTTAATGCCAACACCTTTCCCAGGGCAGAAACTGTAGCTGGCGGGCCTCGGGTCTGTGGACACCAGTTCTCCCTCCTCACCAGGCACTGGGGGTCGGGGAGCATCTTCGGTGAAACTTGCTCCGAGGTCCAAGGGGAAACCCTGCTCTTGGATATTCATTTTGGGACTCTGCGCCAATGAACAACGAGCGCTGCACCCTAATACATCAGTACTTACAGCTCCAAAGTGAATCAATCTGTCCTGTTGAAACCATTAAGAGGACAAGGATTAGGAAAGGTGGGTCCATGAAACACGACCAGAGGTTTTCTCAAGACAAGACGCACGATGATGCCCTCCCGCTCAAACTCAAAGCAAGAAACTCAGTTTAAATGTTCAGTCGAGCTATATTTTGGCTACAAGCATAGTTCCACTTTAAAACAATTTCTGGAAACTTTTACAACTACAGGAATGCCTCTCATGCTAAGAAGGGATGCCCAGGACACGGGAATGCCACTCCCCACAAGTCTCACTGCACAAACATCATGGAGGCTGGCAGCTTGAGCACCTCCCACCTCAGCTGCAGAGCTGAGTGACAGGGAAGACAGGAAGGCTGGAGGCAGGAAAGCTGCCTCTAGTCCTGGCTATGTGTATAAACCTGAGTGAGGGCTGGACCGTCTCAAGTAAGATGGAGACAATCACTCCACCAGCCCCAACAACACTCAGAGAGAAAGGAAGGCGCGCTACAGCCCCAAAGGTGGTGGGCGTCTTCTGAACCCCACATCCTCCAGGCTCAAGGCCACTGTTTTCCGCCTCTGCGTCACGTCACACGCGGTACACCTTGCAACACGTGAGAACACACGGCACGGTGTTCCTCCAACTCTCAACACGCGCCTCAAAGAGAGATAATCATGGGTCACCTTCAGCCCCATCGACCAGGGGATCAAGGACACCACCCACGCCCAGAGGCGCTCGGACACCGCCACTGGAGACAACCTTAACACGCTCTGTCGGAATGCTGCACTTGACTCTTAAAAGCCTCTCTGATGAGGATTCAGATAGCAAATAGTAAATGGGTAACTTAAGGAACAGAAAAGGTACAGAATAAAAGGAAATGCAAATACAGTTTGTAGCTAAGGAAGCTATAGTTCATGTGACTTCACTCCTTAAGCTGAAAACCGAACCACCCACCCTCTTAGACATCAGGGAACTATAGAATTTGCTGCTACTACTGCTGCTGCTGCTACAAGCCTGCAAGGAGTATGCAAAAGAGACTAGGTAAGGGCTCCAACAGAACCCCTGCCATGGTCTGTGGTCCTTCCTGCCACGAACTATAGGAGCCCAGGAGCTCTGGCTATGCCTCTCAACCTGGCCACGCAGGTGACTGCCACACAGCCTGCCATGATGTAAGTGGTCCTGGCTAAAAGGGGCTGGAGAGAAGGCTTTAGAGAAGCATGTTGGGTTCAAAAGCCTGGAGTGCTGAATAAGCCACGGGGAACAAATAAAACCCTAAAACCCAGGACCAACTCAAGGGGGATCTCCCAGCCACCACTCCACACTGCTGTCCCTGGTCTACATGGAATCTGTCCCCCACATCAACTTCCTCACATTGCACACACTTTACCAGCCAACAGCTGCTCCTGGCTGGAAGCAAGAAGGATCCACAGAGCCAGGCATGGTGTCACGCACCTGTAGTCTCAACTACTCAGGAGGCCGAGGCTGGAGGATCCCTTGAGTCCAGGAGTTCAAGATTAACCTGGGCAACATAGTGAGACCCAATCTCTACAAAAAAACTTTCTTAATTAGCCAGGTATGGTGGCGTATGCCTGTAGTCCCAGCTACTTGGAAGGCTGGGGCAAGAGGATCCCTTGACCCCAGGACTTCAAGGGTGCAGTGAGCTATAATCGCATGCCACTGCACTCCAGCCTGGGCAACAGAGCAAGATCCTGTCTCTAAAACAATAAAATAAAATTAGTAAATAAATAACAAGCACCATAGATGGAGGATGGGTTGCAACTATGTGCCCCCAGTGACATTTCAGCAGCTAAGGACTTTTTGGGAACGCTGCTGGGTAGTGTGTCATCTTGGCCTCAGCAGGAACACAGCTTCTAAAGGTCAAGGCCCAGTGAGCTGTGATATCCTGCTGCTCACAGACCACTTCAGCCGCAGCCACTCTGTGAGCCCTATCAGCATGGAGGGAGCACCCTGGGTGTGGGCACCTCCACACTAGCTCACGGTCATCTGTCTGGGACGCCGTCACAGGAAAGAAGGCCTGCACCCTGACCACCTTAGCCTTACCGTGATAGATGCGCTGCCATTCACTAGCTTGAATATTCATCAATGAATATTTAATTCATTGATTTTTAATTCAATGATATTTAATTCTTTGATTTAATTCATTGATGTAAAAAAGACAGACATTTGTCACAGATGCCAAACACTGGCTCTCTATAGATGCTGAACTACTGTACTACAGAAAACAGCAGCAAATTCTTCCAAAACTAATGGATTTTGTTTTGTTTTTTTTTTGTTATTTTGAGACAGGGTCTCGCTCTGTCGCCCAGGCTGGAGTGCAGTGGGGCGAGCTCAGCTCACTGCAGCCTCAGCTTCCCAGGCTCAAGCAACTCTCCAGCCTCAGCCTCTCACATGGCGGGACTACAAGCAGGAGCCACCAACGCCCAGCTAATTCTTGTATTTTTTGTAGAGATGGGGTTTCACCATGTTGGGCAGGCTGGTCTCAAACTCCTGAGCTCAAAGCAATCTGCCCACCTCGGCCTCCCAAAGTGTTGGGATTACAGGCCACCTTGCCTGGCCCCAAAACTAATGTTTTAATTCATGTGTGAACCAAGTCCACCTTAATTATTTTAAACTATTTTTCAGAGCCCAGGAGAAAATTTTTTTTATAATCATGTGTATTTTGGGCTGTCAACTGACAGAAGACTTTTTGGTGTCCCTGGAAGCACATGAACCCCTCCACAAGTTACTGATGTTGTTAAAACATGTCCCAATTCCTGAAATCTCTGGGTTTCCACATGGAAGCACACCAAGCATTTAGTGTACACACGCATACACACCACACATAAAGCAGTCATGTTTACTCAGGTTAGCATCAAATGCCTGCAAGCACTGAATCTGGCCCACAGCCTGTAGCTACCATCAATAAAGTGAGTCCATAAAATGGGCGGGATGCCTACAAGTCTGATATCGTATTTAAAATTCCCTTTCATCACTGCTTAGGCATATGCCCCAGGCACCATGGCAGCAAACTCAGTGCTACCTATGTGTGTAGGTATTTATTTTACCCAAACTTAACTTTTGAAATTTTGATATACATGGAGGATGCAAGTAAAACAGCACGACTCTGACATCTTCCCAACTGTCCACTGATTTAACTCTTGAAGGTTCAGGGCTACTATTTCACATGTAATTTGTTCCCCCATTACTGAAATTCTCAGTGACTAATGTAATCCGAAAAAGTCTGCTTAGATTTTCTGAAACTAGAAATCCAAGTCAACACCAGCTGAAAATCAAACAAAAACACTGTTTTTCATGCTTTCCCATCCTTGTCCCCGAATGGAGATCTTAAAACTGAAACTGAGGCCAGGTGTGGTGGCTGACGCTTGTAATCCCAGCACTTTGGGAGGCCGAGGTGGGCGGATCACCTGAGGTCAGGAGTTTGAGACCAGTCTGACCCACATGGAGAAACCCCAACTCTACTAAAAATACAAAATTAGTCAGGTTTGGTGGCACATGCCTATAATCCCAGCTACTTGGGAAGGCTGAGGCAGGAGAATCGCTTGAACCTGGGAGGCGGAGGTTGCGGTGAGCGGAGATCCCACTATTGCACTGCACCCTTTATAAATTATCTTAGAAGGGCCCAGGCACGGTGGCTCACACCTGTAATCCCAATGCTTTGGTAGGCCGAGGTGGGCGGATCACCCGAGGTCAGGAGTTCCAGGGCAGCCTGATCAATACGGTGAAACCCCGTCTCTACTAAAAATAGAAAAATTAGCCGGGCGTGGTGGCACATGCCTGTAATCCCAGCTACTCAGGAGGCTGAGGCAGGAGAACTGCTTGAACCCAGGAGGTGGAAGTTGCAGTGAGCCAAGATCGCGCCACTGCACTCCCAGCCTGGGCGACAGTGCGAGACTCCGTCTCAAAAAAAAAAATTATCTTAGAGGGGGCGATGGTCACGCATGTAGTCCCAGCACCTTGGCAGGTTGAGGCAGGTGGATCGCTTGAGGCCAAGAGTTCAACAACACTTGCTGGGCAATATAGTGACACCTCATCTCTACAAAAAAAAAAAAAAAATTACCTTATAGATGGGCTGAGAAAAATCCCTAGAGAACTGACATGTTTTTCTCTACTTTCTTCAATGCCAAGCCGAAAGTTTCACTGCTCGGGCAATGCAGCTCTGGTTTCACTGGGGGCTAAATTCCAAAGTGCCGGGCGGGGGGTAGAATCTAGGAACCACACCCAAGAGAGAGACGAGTGTTTGGGCAGCGAGGCATCAAACCTGGAGGGCACGAACGCCTGAGCACGCGGCTACTCAGGCCGCACCGCGACCTGGACCCGGTACG